GCCGTGGCCTATGTTTCTCACTGAAAATCCTCGAACCCCCGGACGGCACCTATTTTTTGAATTTTCTTCCTTTTCACGCCGTTTTTCGGGGATTTCGGATTTTTTTTGAATTTTTTCGCAATAATATTCGGAAAATAGATCACTTTTAACACATTTTAATGCAATAAAAATTTCTGGTCGGAGTCCCCCTTTAATAATTTGTTTAAAAATTTCAAAATTTAAATTGTTTCAGACCAATTTCACTTTCACAACAAATTTGTCCAAAAAGGGACCTCATCAAGAAGAGCCGTCAGATGGGACCTACCAAAATTCAAAACCTATCAATATTCATTTTGTGCTCAGAAACCCAAGGATTTCCAGGATTCAGAAAACCTATCAGACGTCGTGACGTCATCTGAAGTATCGAAAATTCAAAAACCCAAAAAAAGTCGATGCACCAAGTGTCGGAGCTCTCGGAAAAGAGTGATCAATTTGAGATTTCATTTGAAAGGTGAAAGACGATCCAGGCAAAAATTTGAAGAGCACAAAAAATATGATATGGGAACTCATGCGGAGATTCTGAAGGAGATGGATCAGAATATTCAAGATTCGATAAGGTACAGTAATCCGGAGGAACAAATTGAGTGAAAATTTGGAAAAATCTAGTATTTTTGAGTCATTTTTGACGAAAATTCGGAAAATTTAAGAATTTAAGAATTTAAGAATTTTAGAATTTTAGAATTTTAGAATTTTAGAATTTTAGAATTTTAGAATTTTAGTATTTTAGAATTTTAGAATTTTAGAATTTTAGAATTTAAGAATTTAAGAATTTTAGAATTTTAGAATTTTAGAATTTTAGAATTTTAGAATTTTAGAATTTTAGAATTTTAGAATTTTAGAATTTTAGAATTTTAGAATTTTCGAATTTTAGAATTTTAGAATTTTAAAATTTTAGAATTTTAGAATTTTAGAATTTTAGAATTTTAGAATTTTAGAATTTTCGAATTTTAGAATTTTAGAATTTTAAAATTTTAGAATTTTCGAATTTTAGTATTTTAGAATTTTAGAATTTTAGAATTTTAGAATTAGAATTTTAGAATGTTAGAATTAGAATTTTAGAATGTTAGAATTTTAGAATTTTAGTATTTTAGAATTTTAGAATGTTAGAATTTCAGAATTTTAGAATTTTAGAATTTTAGAATTTTAGAATTTTAGAATTAGAATTTTAGAATGTTAGAATTTTAGAATTTTAGTATTTTAGAATTTTAGAATGTTAGAATTTCAGAATTTTAGAATTTTAGAATTTTAGAATTTTAGTATTTTAGAATTTTAGAATTTTAGAATTTTAGAATTTCAGAATTTTAGAATTTTAGAATTAGAATTTTAGAATGTTAGAATTTTAGAATTTTAGTATTTTAGAATTTTAGAATGTTAGAATTTCAGAATTTTAGAATTTTAGAATTTTAGAATTTTTGAATTTTTGGCAAAAAAAAAACTAAAAAATTCATAGTTTCAGATACATCAAACTATTGGATATGGAACAGAAAGGAGAAAGGTGAGCTACTGTAGTTTTTCAAAAACTACAGTAATCCGGGATTACTGTAACTTGAACATAAATTTCAGAATGGGGAAACAGTTGAACCAACAAATGGAGAGAGGGCGCAATCTGAAATTCACGATTCACAATGAGCTGAAAGTTTTGGAATCGTTAGTTTTTTTTTCAAATTTCTAAAAAATTCAGAAATTCAGAAATCCAAAATTTGAAAAATTCTAATTTTTCTCCATTTTCAGCATAAAATCTGAAAACGATCGTCTCCGACAAGAAGAGCAAAATCTGCTGGTTCAATTGAAAATTGAAGAACTGACGGCGACAATTCAGAAGACGTCAGAGGCTTCTGAAGGCTTCCAGAAGATTCAGAAGACTCCAAAATCTCCAGAAAAGACGTCAACGGATTTTGAAGGATTCCAGGAAACGTCCCAGGATTTAGAAGACGTTGAAAAAATGCAAAAGACTCAAGAATCTCCAAAGAATGCGTCGAAAGATTCAGATGAAATTCAGAAGACGTCAGAAGAGATCCAGACGACATCAAAAGATTCAGAAGTCGTTCAGAAAATTCCAGATATTCCAGATGGAGTTCAGAAGACGTTAGATGCCGCAGAAGAGATCCCGACGACGTCAATTGATTCAGAAGACTTCCAAAAGACTCCAGAATCTCCAAAATCTCCAGAGAAAATGTCAGAGGATTCACAAGACGTCCAGGAAGCTTTAGGATTCCTAGACAAGATTCAGAAGACCTCAGAGGATTCAGAATCTTCAGACGCCAAAGAAGAAGAGGATCTTCTAAAAGAGACGCTGGAATTGGAAGCGCTTCTGAAGGAAATGGACCCTGACGACGATTCTGAAAGCTACAGTAACCCGGAAATCGAAACTACAGTAATCCAGAAGCCAGAAGAGTCGGTGGCTACAGTAATCCAGAATACAGTTATCCAGGATAATGTAGAGTTGCCAAAAACCGAAGAAAGCCTTGATGGAATCCTAGAGAAGTTGATGAAGTTGGAGATCTCAGCTACAGTAATCCCATCGGCTACAGTAACTCAAATGACGCCATCGGAAAGTGGGGTTCTCAACCTTCAGATGAGCAATGATTCTGAAGACGTGGATGCTGTAGGAACTATGACTACAGTACCCTCTCCATCTAGTGTTCCCGATGATCCGAGCTACAGTAACCCGATTGATGCTGAGCAGTTGAGAATGGAAATTGAGGAGAAGAATGCGAGAATTGAAGAGTGGGTTTTTTATAGAATTTTTGAACTTTTGAAAATTTGAAATTTCCAGACTGGAATTGCTCAATAAACAACTATTGGAACGAGCTGAGCACATGGGTCAGCTTTTAAGGTGAGCAATGATTCTTTTTGGATTACTGTAGTCTAAAAATAAACTACAGTAATAAAAAACTACTGTAATCCAGAAAAAATCAGAACTTGAAATTTTTTTTTCGAAAACTTCAGATTTTCAAACAAATTGAAAATTCGAATTTCTGAGAATTTAAGTGGTTTCTTGATTCTGAAAATTCAGAAATTCAGAAATTCAGAAATTCAGAAACTCTAAAAGTCGAAATTTAGGATTACTGTAAAAGTTTAAAAATTAAAATTTTCAGCCAAAATCAGAATGCATCGTCAGAAACGGAGGAAAAGCTGAAATCTGAGATTTTGAAGGCAAATTTGAAGATTTCAAATTTGGAAGAATCGAACAACGAGCTGAGATATAAAGTCAAGCATCATGAGGAGATTATTGATAAATTTATGAAGAGAATGACTGCCGAGAACAAGGACTAATTATTTGTTTAATTAATTGCCCAATCAACCCAATTTTTTTTTCAATTTTTTCAATTTTTTAATTGCCCAATTATCCCATTTATCTTTAATTAACACATCTCTTTTTTTTAAATTCCAATTTTTACGGTTTCCCCAAGAAAATTTTAATTCCACCGATCTGATTTTCTCCCCATGATCATCTCAATTTTTTTTTGTAATTTCTGAATTAAAAATTTTTTCCAATTCACTTTTTTTTCGATTTTTCGATTTTGTAAAAATCAGTTTCTTGGAACTGTATGGCTATATTTTTGTCAGTTTTTTCAGATTTTTAAATTTTTCTAGCATAATTTTCAGCAAATTCCAACCGCAAAAATGCTGGGTCCGGGACCAGAACACAAGGAGATTTTGTGGGATTTTTTGGGGAAGAATGATATGGATATAATGCTGAAAAATCAGGGAGATAAGAAAGCGGCGCAGGTAGGCAGACACAAAATTTAGGTATCTCGGTTACTGTAGGAGCTATCAGAAAAATGTCAACTGCTACAATGTTTATCATAATATCAGTAACATATTATCAGTTGACAGATTTTCGGTTTCTATTACAGTTACTGTGAAAATTCAGCTCGATGTTAGTAGCTGACGCTTCCAGGCTCAGCTACGCGGTCCGCCGCCGACCTTCAAATTTGGAACCAATTTATCTCGATTACTGTAACAGCTATTAAAAAGTGGTTGACTGATGAAATGTTTATCATGATATCAGTAACATTTTACCAGTTAACAAAGTTTTGGTATCTGTCACAAGAATCTAGAAAATTCGACTCGAAGTTAGAAGCTAACGGTTTCCGGCTCAGCTACGCTGTCCTCTGCTAACCATCCATCTTTGACCCAATTTATCTCGGCTACTGTAAAAAATAACGAAAAGTCGTCAATTAATAAAATGTAACTGATATTATGATAAACATTTTATATATTGACAGCTTTTTGATACCTCTTACAGTAACCGAGATAAATTTAGTCGGCTGCAGACAGCTCAAGTTCGACCTTTCTGTTTCAAGCTAAAAATTGCTATTCCAGACACACTGGTCAGCCACGATCAAATCTCGTCGACTGGCACTAACACCCAGTTATCTTTGTGCTCCTTCAAATCTTCTAACAACACAAAAAACACCAAAATTTCAATACTATCTAATGGACGATGAGGATCGAAAACATATCGCATTTTTTCAAAATTTTCTCACCGCCAACGAATGGGAAGAGCGATGTTACAGTCATATGGGAACGATTGGGAACTTTGTGAAGAGTGTTCGAGAGATTATGAACTCAGATGATGAAGAACAAGTGGAGAAGAGATACTATATACGATCGGTTCCATTTGAGAATGAGCAACGAGTGTTTGCCGATGAGATTTATGAGCTACTTCCGTTGATTCCGTGTCGAGGGCTGATGAATACTGGTGGGCACTGTAAAAAATCAAAAAGCTAGTTTTTCTCTTCAAAATGAGCTAAAAATCAAAAAAAAAAAGATGATTTTGAGCCGAGTTATGCGCCTTTAAAGTTTGGAGGGCGAGAGAGAGAGAGAGAGAAGAGACGCAGAGGGAAGAGAGGACTGTAGCTTCTCTGCGTCTCTCATTTTGAAAAATTGAGCATATCTCGCTTCAAATAAAAGCTAGAAGAGTATTGAAAAAACAGAAATGTAGGAAACGAAAAGGTCTACAAAATTGTGAAATATTCAATAAATATAAATTTTTCAATTACTCGGAAAAAGGCGCCAAAGCAACCACTGTTGTTTAACGCCCAAAGCATGCTATTAATGTTTTGATCACAACTTCCTGCAAACTCAATTTATTTAAACGATCTAACATGAAAAACGTAGAGCTTGAACAAAGCTTCAAAATAATATGTAACACAACCTAGCTATCAAAATTTTCCTTCCAGCGCGCGCCGCCGAACTGCAAGACATCTGGAAGCAGCACGGAGCACATGTGTACACAACGATTTCCCTAGCTGAGCTAGATTTGATTTTTGAGGATTTCAAATTGGATAAAACAAAAGTTACGGTAGGTTTTTGTATTTGGGAACACAATTCAAATTTGGAAAAAGACACTCTAATAGAACGACAGCCAACTGTGTAGCTTAGCCGACAAGCGCCGACTTTTCGACTTTGAAACAATTTATCTAGGTTACTGTAAGAGATAACAAAAAATGGTTAACTCATGAAATGTTTATGATGATGTGATAAGCATTTTATATATATTGACAACTTTTTGATATCTTTCACAGGAGTCGGGAGGAACCCGATCAATCATAAGGGGTCGGCAGATGCCAGATGAGCTACTCCATCCGCGGGATCCATAATCTTAGCTAGATCCATCTCGGTTACTGTAGAACCTATCAAAATGTTGTCAACTAATAACATGTTTATTATAAAACAAAAAAATCCTTTATCAACTTTTTGATATCTGTTACAGTAACCAAGATAAATCAGTAGGCTAGCAGCGGACCCAGTAGCCCAACCGACAAGCGTCAGCTGCAATCCTTCAAACTTTAAGCCAATTTATCTGGGTTTCCGTGGAAGATATCACAAAGTGACTTGCTGATAAAAGATTGTTTATTTCATGATAAACATTTTATCAGTTGACCATTTTTTGATATCTTTCACAGGAAACGAAATACACCTGGTCCAAGTGAGAAAGGTAGGCAGTCTGCAGGCGGCAGCCGACCGACCGCGTAGCTCTGCTTGAAGCTCCCAGCTTTCTATCTTTAAGCCAATTTATCTCGGTTCTTGTTGAAGATATCAAAAAGCTGTGAACTGATAAAATGTTTATCATAATATCAGTAACATTTTATCGGTGAAAAACTTTTTGATATCTAATACAGGAAATAAGATATATAGTTTTAAAGTTGACGGCTTGATAGGGGTATATTTTAACCTTTTTTTAATCTCATTTTCTGTAATTTTCCCTATTTTCTTTAATTTTCAGATAGTCGAGGACCCCGCATACACAATTGGTGAAAATCTAATGTTCACATGGGGTACAAATCTAAACATTCACGATCTTAAAAGGCAACCAATTATCTCTGTCCCACAGGCGGTACTGTTTCTAGCGCAATCGATTGTTTGTGGAGTTAATTGGAAGGCAGTGAAGGATGAAAAGAAACAAGTGGTTTTGGACGAGATGAGAAAAGTGATGGCACTTGGGAAGGTGGGCATAGGAGGGGGATGTTGGAAATTAAGAAATTCAGAAATTCAGAAATTCAGAAATTCAGAAATTCAGAAATTCAGAAATTCAGAAATTCAGAAATTCAGAAATTCAGAAATTCAGAAATTCAGAAATTCAGAAATTCAGAAATTCAGAAATTCAGAAATTCAGAAATTCAGAAATTCAGAAATTCAGTAATTCAGTAATTCAGAAATTCAGAAATTCAGAAATTCAGAAATTCAGAAATTCAGAAATTCAAAAATTCAGAAATTCAGAAATTAAGAAATTCAGAAATTCAGAAATTAAGAAATTCAGAAATTCAGAACATCAAAAATTCAGAAATTCAGAAATTCAAAAATTCATAAACTGAGAAATTCAGAAATTCAGAAATTCAAAAATTCAGAAATTCAGAAATTCAGAAATTCAGAAATTAAGAAATTCAGAAATTCAGAAATTAAGAAATTCAGAAATTCAGAATATCAAAAATTCAGAAATTCAGAAATTCAAAAATTCATAAACTGAGAAATTCAGAAATTCAGAAATTCAAAAATTCAGAAATTCAGAAATTAAGAAATTCAAAAATTCAAAAATTCAGAAATTAAGAAATCCAAAAATTCATAAATTGAGAAATTCAGAAATTCAGAAAATCAAAAATTCAGAAATTCAGAAATTCAGAAATTCAAAAATTCAAAAATTCAGAAATTCAGAAATTCAGAAATTCAGAAATTCAGAAATTAAGAAATTCAGAAATTCAGAAATTCAGTAATTCAGTAATTCAGAAATTCAGAAATTCAGAAATTCAGAAATTCAGAAATTCAGAAATTCAAAAATTCAGAAATTCAGAAATTCAGAAATTCAGAAATTCAGAAATTAAGAAATTCAGAAATTCAGAAATTAAGAAATTCAGAAATTCAGAACATCAAAAATTCAGAAATTCAGAAATTCAAAAATTCATAAACTGAGAAATTCAGAAATTCAGAAATTCAAAAATTCAGAAATTCAGAAATTCAGAAACTCAGAAATTAAGAAATTCAGAAATTCAGAAATTAAGAAATTCAGAAATTCAGAATATCAAAAATTCAGAAATTCAGAAATTCAAAAATTCATAAACTGAGAAATTCAGAAATTCAGAAATTCAAAAATTCAGAAATTCAGAAATTAAGAAATTCAAAAATTCAAAAATTCAGAAATTAAGAAATCCAAAAATTCATAAATTGAGAAATTCAGAAATTCAGAAAATCAAAAATTCAGAAATTCAGAAATTCAGAAATTCAAAAATTCAAAAATTCAGAAATTCAGAAATTCAGAAATTCAGAAATTCAGAAATTAAGAAATTCAGAAATTCAGAAATTAAGAAATTCAGAAATTCAGAATATCAAAAATTCAAAAATTCAGAAATTCAGAAATTCAGAAATTCAGAAATTCAGAAATTCAGAAATTAAGAAATCCAAAAATTCATAAATTGAGAAATTCAGAAATTCAGAAATTCAAAAATTCAGAAATTCAGAAATTCAGAAATTCAGAAACTCAGAAATTAAGAAATTCAGAAATTCAGAAATTAAGAAATTCAGAAATTCAGAATATCAAAAATTCAGAAATTCAGAAATTCAAAAATTCATAAACTGAGAAATTCAGAAATTCAGAAATTCAAAAATTCAGAAATTCAGAAATTAAGAAATTCAAAAATTCAAAAATTCAGAAATTAAGAAATCCAAAAATTCATAAATTGAGAAATTCAGAAATTCAGAAATTCAAAAATTCAGAAATTCAGAAATTCAGAAATTCAAAAATTCAAAAATTCAGAAATTCAGAAATTCAGAAATTCAGAAATTCAGAAATTCAGAAATTCAGAAATTAAGAAATCCAAAAATTCATAAATTGAGAAATTCAGAAATTCAGAAATTCAGAAATTCAGAAATTCAGAAATTCAGAAATTCAGTAATTCAGTAATTCAGAAATTCAGAAATTCAGAAATTCAGAAATTCAGAAATTCAGAAATTCAAAAATTCAGAAATTCAGAAATTCAGAAATTCAGAAATTCAGAAATTAAGAAATTCAGAAATTCAGAAATTAAGAAATTCAGAAATTCAGAACATCAAAAATTCAGAAATTCAGGGG